AAATAAACGGTACCGTAATACCGTGAACAATCTTATTTCACCGAATACCGTCAACCAAAATGATGAAAAGCTGCATACCGCAGAACTAGATGATACCGCAATACCGCACTTTAAAATGAAAATTACCGAAATACCGCATGAAAAAAAGCCCAATACCGCAATACCGTAAACCCCCATGTCCCCCTCTATCCTAGATCGGCACCTGTTCTGGGTATGGTGATGTATGATAATGAGTTTAAAACAAAGGGAAACAAAATTTAAACCAAGGATAAAAATTGAAACACAACACATACTTGCATAATGTCCAAGTTAAATTTTTAGCGGTTTAGGGAGGCGATTCTTCCGTAGAATTTATTTACATGGCGGTACTAGGTCGGAAGAAGCAACTTTTTAACTGTGCTTAAACTAAAATTTGACATTTAGAACTGAAATCTCCCCGTGAAGTTCTAGAAAGAAAGAAATAAATCTTAAACAATTTAGCTTATACAAGGAAGTAGTTTATAAAGCCTTACCCAACCATCAAGCGAAGATCTTCTTTTTTTCTCTCAATGTCACCCCTGCAAGTCGTAAAAAAATTAAGTTAAAATCTCTTCCTGACTAATATACTTCTTGGATATTCAAAATATCGATCAGGCTAATGACTGGCCTCGTTTTGTGCTCTACGGCTCGGATTTCTTCAACAGTGTGACTGGAAAAGAGGGAATCACTGTCCATTTCGGCATCCCAATGAACTGAGGAAATATATTCAAATCAGTATCTCTGCCGTAAATAACCAGATGAAATGAATAATTATTAGCCTTAAACAGTAATCATTTTACTAACAAGATTCTGCATTGTTTTGACGTGGCGACAAAGGAGATATTTGTGGTGTCTTAGGAGATTTCGGGCTACGTGGAGCGTCCGCCATCTTGCCCCTTCCCGCTCGACCAAGGCCTTTCCCCCGCGCTTTGATTTTGAGAAGGCCCTGGAAAAGAGTTGCGTGACGTAATGTGAAGTTGTGTTTCGTATGAACGAATCGTCGGAGAATTTTCCAATGCACCGAGGAGAGTCCATGTTTGTACAGAATATTTGTTCGCAAGGGCATGGTTAACCTGAGCGACATTTTTAGATCAGTGTTTGGGCTTCCTAAAGAACGACTTGGTCCTAACGATTTGCCCAGGTACGTTTTGAAATGGGAGGAACACGATAAAACATGCTCATGAAACAATTGATCTTGAAATATACTTCCGCACTTTCATTTTGTGCCCACTTGACTACATACGTGCTGTAGTCAGTCTCGACTTTTTTATACTCGGTATAAACGATTAAGTAAGACTACAAGGCACACTGTAGATTTGTATGGCTTGGTTTTCATTGGCGCTTAAGCTTAAGCATAAGCACAAGCACATGTGTAAACAGTGAAAACTGGGTCAGCATAAGCATAAGCACAAGAAAAACGGGAGAGTTCGTTCTTCTTGTGATTGTGCTTATGCCTATGTCATAGCTTTGACTAGTGAAAAGGAGGTCTACATAAGCACAAGCATAAGCATAAGCCGTGGACCAATCAGAAGTAACTTTGACCCAGACCTCATGCGAACATATCAAAAGCAATATGGCGAGCGCTTTGTCTGCCATCTTGTTTATCATCAGGTTGAGGAGAGCTGGTATCACAAATTGAGTCTAATATGCCATTCTGCACGTGCTTACGTCCTTGTGCTCATGCTTATGCACTAGTGAAAATCAGGTTTATAGGAGATGATAGTTACCGAGAGACTTTTGGCCCACTATCTGAAACAGAGGTCTAGATTTCACCTTCTAATAGTACTGTAAAGTTCCCATAGTAGCGACTCCCCAAAAGTTACAACCCCCTTAAAGTAACGTCAAAAGTTTCTGACTTCTAATAAATCCCAAAACTAGCAAGCCCCTGAAAGTAGCTAGACTAAGTTTTTTTAATTACGTTGTAAACATACCCAATGCCTTTATTGTTTTCCAATTGCAACCCATAGTCAAATTTGTATTGTAGAACAAGGTAGTACAACTTGTTCCAACAAGTGACAAGACAATATAGGTATTTAAATATCCAGAGCCACCAATGTGGCGGACAAAAGCATGAGACTGGATATATGGACACAGTACCTTGTAACACAAATAAAATGTTTTTTTTTATATATATGAGTCAAACTCAATCCATATATTGAGTTCAATGCAGTTCAAATAACACTTCTTTGTGAACTCTTTCATAGCTAATAACATCACGGCCTAACTGACAGACGACCAATAACATCGCAACTTAATTGACCAGTTAGGTCAATAACCAGATTTTAATGACATCAACTGACATGATACAACTCACTTTGACTCAGAAGATGACTACTGCACAGGTTGTTGAAACATCAGTCACTGTCAACAACAGTCCTATTCAGGACTTTGTTCACCCGGACAATCATGCTCAACCCACTTATGAAACAAGGCCCCCATAGTGGGGGCTCGTTGGGCTGTTTACCGCGTATACTTCCCAAAATATTAAACCACTGCATCAGATTATAATATACTTTTTTCCGGATCGAGTGTGTAGCTGCTCCTAACCAGTGGAATGTAATAGTATACATTTATCCCCCGAAGGGGAGGTGAATAGTATACAACCATCCCCGGAAGGGGAGGTGAATAGTGGTGGATATATATCGAGATGCGAAACATCAGGGTATATATCTAGCGCTATGAACTGACCTCAAGGAGGATAGTTGTTTTAGTATTTACCAAATCAGTTGGATAAAAAAACAAAAAGGAAGTTTTTGTAAACAAAAGACATCACTTAGTTCGAGTTTGTTTATGTTTCAATTGACAGTGTTTCAGGAATCATTTTTTATGATTTTGTTGCAAATTCAGGAAGAAATTTTTTTTCTCTACTAGCCAGTAAACACTGCCATGCCAAATTTTGTCTCTTTCTTGGTATTTGTTGATGCAGCTGCTTCATTTACTGCTAAAATTTTACCTTTCAAAACTGTTGCGAAGCGAGAAGCCATATTGAATCCTGTCGCAAAACAGTGAATATCCAAGGATATTCTGAGTTACAGGAGCCAATCAGAACACATGAAAATTGCTATCCACTGATTTGGTGAATACTAATGGTGGAGATATACATACCGGTAGATGCAAAGTGTCAAGGTATATATCAAGCGAAAACAAGCAACTTTTTGTAAATTACAAATGTCACTCAGTAGGAACTTTGTGTACAATTTACAAACATTTTGGGGATTTTGTCAAGTGCATTTTAACGATTTTGTTGCAAATTCAGCATGAAAATCATTTTTACCTACTGGTAAACACTGACAAGCTAAAGTTCATCGCTTTAGTGGTATTTGTTTGTGCGACTGCTTCATTTATCCTGATTTTTCGCTCAAATTTCTTCTTTCGAAAATGTCTCAAAACAAGACACCATCTTGGCTCTGGTCGCAAAACAGTGAATAGCCAAGGATATTCCAAGTCATGGGAGCCAATCAAAACAAGCAAAAATTGCTATTCGCTGATTTGGTAAATACTAAAGATGTATAAACTTAGCCTTATAAAAACAAGAGACAAAGTTCACTATGACCGCTGAATTAAAGAAGTGAAGACGCATTTTTTACAGGCTTAGCCTCCATCTGAAGTAATCTATTCACAAATTCCAACAAGAAAAATACATATTTATTACTCTGTCTATTGTGTACATTCAAATTTCAAACACTCACTTGCTAGAATTTCTGACAACGTCGAGGCTAACCCTGTATAAATGTGTAGTTAATGTTTGTATTCAGCGGTAATTTTAAATTTGAAACTGGACTATTGGCATTATTTTTAACTGAGACATTTCCACAACCCACTCCTCCCCCAATCCCTCCCCCCCAAAAAAATATATATGTATAGCATGACAGTATTACGTGAAAATGTTGTTTTCCTTAAAGTCACACTAATCTTTATTTATTTAAATTAATAATACTGGAAATTATTATTTTGTTAATAAACTCATCACCTCATTTCTTATGAACCCTAACAGAAATATTCAAGAGGATTTTGACAACCTTTACGGGGAGAGGCATTATCATCCTTTGCAACAGCAACCACCTACTGATGTTGAGGAATGGACAGTGAGGTTTGGATTTCCAGAGCACAAAAAACACAGTGACGACTTCCTCTTAAATCAGGGAGATTTTCTACAGGAGTTTGAGCAGATGTTTCAGAACTTCTTTAGGGGATTTCCCTTTGATTTCAATCATTCTATCCAAGGTTTTTGGCATTATTTCTGTTCAATTGTTTAGGTTTAAATGTTAAATAGGATTAAGCCAAGGTATGTTCATTGTATTTTGAGTTTTTTTCACTATTTTAGTTCTCAGTATATTCATAGTATTATTTTTGTAATCACTGACATGTGAAACAGAATATGGTTGACTTTGAAAACAAAGTTCCTAACCACTAATACTGCTTTGAGTAATGCATGCACATATTTATTGCAACATCGTTCAAGTTCTCAAATATTACACTCCTATTGCATAATTTATTCTAATATTATGGCACTAAGATCACACATCTCAGTAATATAATAATGTTTGTTAATTAGTGGCCTGGGACTAAAAAAATGATAGGGTTATGATGATGAGCTAGCAAAGTTTGTTAAATTTTTAATAGAGAAATACTATAAATAAATTAAATAAAATTAATATACTTCAATTTTAAGCTAGTACATTGAAACTGTCATGCCCTTTGGACAAGCTGATTTTGTACCAATGCTGTCCAAACTCTTTACTTATATTTGATAATATTTTACTGCCAGGTCCCCTGACATCCGACCTCCCACCTCACTCACCCTCAGATATGCCACAGGAAAGCAATCCTAATCACTCAGAGTCTCTCAGGGACAGAATGTTAAGACGACCAGAGAGTGAGAACTTTCATGGACATCAGGTAAAATAGACTATTTGTGTATGTCAGAGGACTACATGCTGTCCAATTTGAAAATAACAATATTGGATGAAAAAAATTCCGAGGACAGACAAGAAGCCAATTAAACAAAACGGCAGTAAAACAAAACGACATTCAAAGCAACAATTAAGAAGCCAACAAGAAAGAATGTTCGCCAACAAACCGCCCTCAGCCAACAAAAATTTTTTTTGGCATGTTGTCACAGGGTCTTTGTGATGATTGCTAGTTTGCATTGCCTATTGTATTTTCTGGCATTTGATTGGCTCAGACCAGCTGTCCAATTTTTCTTAATTTGGACAGTTTGCCTATTTGTAAAGGGAAGCCCTCTCTCAAACTATCCAAATTAATCCTTAACTGGACAGTTCATAAAAATTAAAGGATAAAAGTTTTGCTGACAATATCGGATTAACTAACAGTTATATAATTAATCCAGTAATTAATGATCATAAGCAGATGATTAATTGAAACCCTTTCCCATGGGTCTTATCTGTGTCACTACAGATAAACTTTCATATATAGTGCTAGTTTGTGTATGTCACTGGCTTATGGATATTAAGGTGCCAACAAGAGACTTATTGGCTCTTAAGAGAAAGAGTTCCATTTTCTCAGTCCTTGGCCCAGATTAATAACAAAAATGATGTTTACCAACTTAAACTGTCCCTGTACCAGTGTAACAGCTTGTCTTCCCATGCCAGGGGGTTTCTCTTTGTCATTGCCAGCATGCACATGGGGACCCGGTCATTTTGTGCACGAGGCCACCATCAAATAATTGGGTTAATCTATTTCTTTCGTTGTAATTTTTGTTGATACATGGATAGTTATTTTGTAAGACACTCTTGTGTCATTTAGGGATGCCTCATGTATGATTAAATGTTTAAGTTGTTGTTTTAATCTGATGGATGTCATGGTGTGTTACCATTCACCGTTGACACCAGTAACATAAATGGCTGGCAACATAATGGCATTTTCCAT